TTATATGATTTTTGGGAAAATCGAAGCAATGTTCATATAAATATTACATTTCCATGGAAAGCCGTTTCGATCGCCATGTTAAAGAGCCCAGATGTTTTCAATAATGAATTATTTAATTAAAAGAAAGCTGTTTTGTAAGGATATAAAGCGATACTGACTGATTGACTGACCGAAGCTAATTAATTACTATAGTAACCTCTAACGAAGTAAGCGAATAGCCCAAGCTAAACAACAGTGTATGGAGCTGGGCGACTAAGTTTCCGGACAATGCCGGTTAACGGCTGCTAGTATACTTTTTATGCTTGTTCATAATTGGTCTGACATATGATTACCATTAGGCATTAGACCTCAGGATCTTGCCTCCGTTTATAATAACTGAATGCAATAACAACAGAGTGCCAAATGTGTTTGTTAACACAAGTTAATGCTTCATCAAATACTTAAAAACACTCAGCGCTTACATTTACATTATCTAAGGTTTATATATAAGAATATTGCCCAACAACTTCTCTTTTATTAGCATGCATACACAAAAAAAAAATTTTTTTTTTAAATAACTAGAAGATACCCTATTCCCCGCGCCGAGCTGCCTTAACAAACATTCTAGCTTACCTCTATGCAAAAAGACAAAAATACAAACACATGTACTCTCAGCTTCTTTATCCCTTAGTCCTGAAACTATGGAATGGATTAACCACAGTGCTTATTGTCCGGTGAATTTTTCAGTGCATTAACAAGGCACTCAAAAATGTTTATATACCAAATCGCAAGGCTTTACCTAACAAAATGCTAGTTAAAGTGAAATATTTCAATACATTTAAATATTTAATAGTTAGCTCGTTAGCTTAATTACGCCCTTTCGGCATAAACTTTAAAAGCTTGTTGTTTGGAGCTCCGCATGTTTTGAATTGCCCTCTTAAGGCAATTTCATGAATACAGGGTATTGGGAGAGTTCGGTGCTGTTCGTTCGCCTGCGTCCTTTGCAGCAGCTAATCAAAATTTTACAGCTCTTGTGCAATTAAAGTCGCAACACTGAGGCAGGACAGGGCCTGCCATTTGTATTCATAGCGCTTATACATACACCTACAGACCATATTATTTGGCACATTATTATGAGTATACCCTTCAAATGTTTACATTTTGTTGACACCTTGCAGAATATTTACAAGGCACGTTCAGAAAAGTAAATATTTCGAATTACATTTTAGTAAGTTTTGGCAGTCGTCAATGTCTTAAACATAAGTTCTGATAAGACCTAATTTACGTGTTTCTTAAGTTTGCCGTCACATTTCAAGTGTGTTTGCCATAGTTCTCAACTGTCTGATCAGTTTTGAACAGGATATGATATGCAGGGTATGTAAACTTCAGCACGTCGATAATTGTTACTTTTTGTTATTATTATTCAGCCTTTCAACATTTCTCGCATGCAAATGAAGCACCTCAGAAAGTGACACAGGAGTTTTTGTTTACTTATGACAAGGCAAAAGCCAAATATAACAAAAAATGTTATATTTTTCTGAATATACTCGATGGGACGATAAATTAGGCACATCTCAAATATAGATTCAGATTATTTCGTAAATATATTTTATGCAAGGATAATATAGAGGGTATACTTTAACTTAAGTTTTATTTATTACCTAATGGTTTGAGTTGACAGGTTACCTTAAATTAAATTAAATTAAACTATTCTATATTAATTTTTAATGAAAAACTGCTCTAAGCTTACTTTAAACTTAAGAAGGTATAATGGTAACATGATAATGATAAGATAATAATATAGGATGTTTTGCATTGCAATGTTTATGTTATTCTTATTTTTAAATATTTAACAGTCCATTCAAAGCCCTCCTTTAAATGCAAACGCCAAGGAGACAAAGAGACACTGAAATCAGAGGGAATCTAATATGGATGTATTATTTTTTAATTAAGTAAGCTGTAAAGCCAATAACTGTCTTCTGCCTTTTGTCTGCTGTTTGGCCTGGTCATGGATTCCAATGCGATCCGTAGCATAGCGCGCGGCGTGCGGCGAGTGGCAAGTTGAGCATGCACGTACATCATGCTGTCAAACGAATGCTAATGCCCTTCGCGGCTGCTTTTGGGACAAAGGGGAGCCGACAGCTGGCAACCGGCACCCGATCTCCTGCAACGTGCTCCCAACTTTCGACAACACGCACGCAGTTTGCATATTTGCGCATCATTTTGGATCTTACAAAAGGGACTGGCCAGGATGCCGTAGGATACCCAAGGATGCCCAGGATACCTTGGCTCTGAGGAAATTGCAGTGCGTGTTTAATTTATGGCACCAAATCGGCGCTCAAACTGAAACTGTAATTAGTTGTGATGAGCAGCAGCCACATTTACATCTTCGTCGATTACTCTTCATTCCGCATGCCGCTTGCCGCATGCCACATGTCACACGCCACACGCCACATGCCACAGGCCACAACCCATATCTGCCTGTCGCTCATCGCATTGGGCACACGGAAATTTGAGGTGTTCATGTCAGCGAGCCATTGTCGCGCAATTAACCAAGCAATTAATCAAGATGCAGGCAACTCGCAGCTTTAAGCAAAATACATTTAATTTTATCGTTACTGAAAATATTTTCCGTGCGCTTTGCCAAGCGGAAAAACGCAAGTCAAGTGTCATATGCTGATTTGGGGGCGGCCTGGGGACTCTGTGTGTGTTTGCCTAAAGTAGAGCTGTTTGTAAAGCTTTCATATGTGTAGATTAATTAAAAATAATTTGCTTGCCTTCGCCTTTGACGGTTATTTACAATTTTTGCCTTTGAAAGTTTTTCCTAAAGTGTTTCATAAATCATGCTCTCCCCCCTTAATCCACCCATTGCGGTTCCGTCTCATTTGGCAGTACCCGAGAATTAATGAAATCACGGATAATTGAAACGGCAAGAAACCACTAGGAATGCTCTTGTCGGTTGTGCCCGACTATAAGATGTTATGTATAAATATTGATATTCAAATGTGTGAATATTTATAGCGCAAGGCAATATCTGTTGAAGAGATATATTTTTCTAACATTGAATTACTTGACAATTTAGGCTGCCTTAGTATTACTGAGACGAGATGTTTATATCCACCAAGAATATACTTATGTCCTCAAGTAGTTGAATTGTTGCGTGCTGCCTATTGAATTCTTGAATTCTCACAACCCGTTTTTTGTAACCCACTTTCATTGGAGGCAGAATAAAAGGAGCAAATTATTCATAAAAAGTTGAAACAGATTGTGAAAATTGGAAGAAAATGGGCATAATGAAGTTTATTGCATTGAGTGCAACATGAAGAAGATATCGTTCTTGCTGTGTCCTCGTTGGCGTTTATGCTAGAACAATGTCACCTCATTAGGTCTTCAATTCTTATATCCGTCTGTTGCCCGCCGCAGGGTCACGAAGCTCTTTGCCAGTAAAATCCATCATACGCCATGCTGTCAGGCCTGAACAAAAGGAAGCTCCTGACAGTTAAAAATCAGAAAAATTGCTGTTGATTTCACTTGAGAGACTTGAAAGTTGGTCAATGGCACAGATGAGCTCAATAACAATACGGATGCAGCCAGAATTTTCGTCAAGAAAAGACTAAAAGATAAAAGAATTCTTGGAAAAGTTGTTGCCAATGAATTTGGCATCCTTTATCGACAGTAAGGAATCACAACCAATACCCCATATACACACATATGGTATGCACAGTCAAGTCTAAAAATCAAAGCATAGCAAATCGAGAAGAACAAGCCAAATACAAGCCAAAAATCCACGCAAATCTAGTGGAAAATTAAAATTTTGCCAATTTATGCGTGCAACAGAGACAGCAAATGGCAGCCAGAGCGTGACAAAGACAGAGAAGAAGATAATGGCTGCAAAAAGGAACCACAACTGGGACTGGGAGCGCACAGCCAGCAAATTTACGACTTTTGAATGCCTCGCTCTGCCACAAAAGGATTTGTACACAGTTCTTTGATTTGGCGTTAAGAACCAACTCTGAATTCCGATGCTTTTAGCCAAATGCGACGACAACAGCAGATGGGACCTTGATGCCGCGTGCTACTGTATCCGCAGTCGCAGTCAACAACCCTTTGTGCTTTTTCCACAGAAGATACCCCAAAAACCATGTAACATTAAATATAAGGCTCTTAATATTTATCTCATTTTACTTATGAGACTTCAGCCCAGCTCATCGATGTTTATGACGGGGTGACAACAAAAGAAGGCGGCCAGATGTAATGTGATACATTGTACTCAGGACTGGTTCGGGAAGTGTTTGCGAGCTGGTTGAATGCGAGCTTACAAGAGAAGTAAATTAATACAAATGATGTGTCTCCCCCTACATAAATCGAGAATTATTCAGCCTACTTTTTAATAAGTAAAGAAAATATTCCTTTAATACGAATACTAGTTGTCTGGCTATGGACGCAGTTTTTATTATTTTGTCAACTTTCGCTGCTATTCCCATTTAGGGTTCCGCCCCAATTCCGACATAATCATGGTCTTATAACGTGTTCACCAGCCGAAAAACTGGAATAGCCAGCTGGTTGCATGCTGCACGTTCCGCTGAGCAGCGCGCATGGGGCACGTGCTCATTCCCAGGCTCAGGCTTTTCGACATCTTTGACAGCCATTAATGCTATTTAATTATGCTTGTTGTGGAACGCTAATGAAATTTTATTCGTTTTGCTGAAAGTTTTCCCGCCACGCAACATTCATAATCGCCAGCGACTTGTCCTTGAAGCAGCCAACTACTCCACCAGAGAGGACGAGGGGTTCTCAGTTCTTGCTGGCTGCCTTTATACCAAGCCGCAGCAACAAATATGAATTATAAGCTGGTACATGAGCACGACAAGTTGACTGGTAGTACTAAACTGTTGCCCATGACAACGGGCACTCAGCATAGGTTAAGTTGTTTTTAAAGAGAAGCAATATACAAAACTCTAGTCGTCTAACAGAGTCATAGTCTGATACACACATATTTATAATACAAACATATAAAGTACCTTTATCTTTATTTGTCATCACGACTTGACTTAAACAATATAAAACTATGTAAGAAATTATGAAGCTGTATTAAAAGGTAAGAGTAAGTTATCGATGATCGGAAACAAACCCGATCTGCGCAGGCACTAGGAGCACCTACAGCTAAAAGTCTACATCAAGTCTCTAGCTCTTATAGGTTCTGAGATCCCTGCGTTCATACATACGGACAGACGGACAGACAGACAGACGGACATGGCTAGATCGACTCGGCTATTGGTGCTGATCAAGAATATATATACTTTATGGCGTCGCAGATTCTTCCTTCTGCCTGTTACATACACTTCGATTTTACACAAATACAATATACCCTTATACCCATTTTTAATGGGCTCAGGGTATAAATATATGCATAAAATATTACCCACTAGCAAGGAATCGCAGACCCTATATAGGTTTTCTATGGTGTTAAATGTTGCCCGCGTCACGAAACGCACCCGACACTCATATTCATACAAATGCAAACACAGACACAATGTACGGCTACACGGTTTCGGAGAACAACAAGTGCGCTCTTATTTTCCTTATTCACGAACAGAAACTTATTGTTATTTGAATAGCTTCAGTGTTATGAAATTTGCAGGATATTAAACTTGCAGAGTATTATTGTTTACAAGTATGTGTACCGAATACTCTTAATATTGTTGGGAATAGTTACGCTGGTTGGAATTGGGTTGACGCTGGCATTTGGGACCTCAACAAATACATAGAAGGAAAGGAATCGGAACTTGGAGAGCTCCACACATGGCTCAAAAATCTATAGATGCCGCTTATTATTCGAGGTCCGAGGATATTAGAGCTAGAATTACAAAATTTGGCATTTGAGCTATCTAAAAAATCACTTTACCTACTTGACGACAATTTAGAACTAGATGCAGGGTATTTCTAGACGGAAATACTTGTGCCTCCACAAAGTAGAAAAATCGGGAATTCCTTGTGCTTGAAATTTGAAGTGTTTGCGCACAGATACAAATTTAAGAAATTAACCTGCATACCAAATGTCATTAATAACTAATGCGAGTATATTAGTTGGGGTAGTCACGTTAGCTATTATGGTCTAACGATCAATAATATGTTTAGTTTATATAGATGTACTCTATGTATAAATTACTGTGTCATTTTTGTTGTTGCAAAACTTGACTTGGGTCTGTGTTGACAGGTTTTTATGAGCGCGGTATAAAAAAAAGTGGAAGCCCTTAACCAGGCTTTAGTGTCGATTTGTAGCCTACGTAAGTGTGTACAGTATTGTTAATGCCTCGCCTACGGCATCGTTGGCCATTTTATGTCAGCCATTGGATCCGACTACATCCGCTCAGATAATAAACGTTTCCTCCACGCCATTCACTAGATGCAGAGGACTCGCAATAAAAACAAGCGAAATTTTACACTTTCTTGTTTTCAGTTCATGTGCCATTTGGCCCCGCTTTACACTTTTGACAACCATCCACGGCAACGAGCCCCCAGCACGCAGACTGCACTCCCTAGGCTGGCATCACAAATGCGCTTGTTATTATTTTGTTGACATATGAGTAAAAATGCGCCGCAGCTTTGCTTGTCATGTCTGGGTAAGCGTGTAATATGAACATGGAAGTGGCGTGCTGCAGTGGAGCCACAGCGGGATGTAAATACGCCAGCCACGAGCTGCACTTGAAGAAGTTGTCGACGAGAAACCAATCAACACACAACAATGGCAGCTGGCAAGTCAGCGGAATCGCGAGTAGCCCCTCCACACTGCTCAATACGGGACACGTTTACAAGCTTTAATACTCACAATTCCCGCTCGAAAAGTGCGCAAGAAGTAACAATGAGGCGGCTAAAAAGCTGGGTTGTGCCGCGCTAGACCGGAACTGGGTTGGGCCAATTTGGGAGAACGCCATTTTCGTGTTCTTGCCAAGAACCGAGCCGAAGTGCAGCATGCGCGTGGCCCAACCGTGTTGCCATTAAAAATTTATTTAAAATGTCGAGAGCAGGCATATGCAATTCTGTAAAGTATATATACATTTTTGTGAAGTTTACTTCTCTGATTGTATATGTGCGTCCAGAGAGTTTTGCAAGAAACGGATGATAAGCTCAGTAGCCCCTTTTTGAGGAAACTACATGCATTATTTGTTGGGCTGCAATATGCATTTCAACCGAACCGGCTTGCACCCAGAATGGAACGGATTAATTGAAGGAAGAACATCCGAATCTTATCTTCAACATATTTTTATAGTTCACACAATTTCAGAAAGTCATGCATATATAAAATCATTCTAAATGAACGAAGCGATTTGTTGCACAGTGTTATCCGTATCTGTTATGTGTTTGTTCTTTATTTGTCCATAAGGTATCTCCAGGTCGAGCACACACAATTTGGGCATTGTTGTTTGTTATAACTCTATTTTTTTCATCCACGTTAGCTGCAGGTCTCCTGTTTACCATTTCTGACTCTGAACATTTGGCGGGCGGTGCATTTGTTCGCCCATGGCATTTTTTTTCAATATTGGGAACAAACGAATTTGAACTGTGTGTTCTTGGGCAAATGTGCGTATCTGACAGACTTTGTTGCATGCCACAATGAAGCAATTGAGCTGCTTAATATCGATTCGAATTGCAAAACGCAATAAAAGCAGCAGCAGCAACAGTCGTGGACTAACCACAAAACAGACACATACCCTTATCATCATAGGCCAGTGTACGTGGCATGTAGAATGTCAGTTGTGGAATGTGGCATTTGCCCGGGCGACTACTATCAGCCAGTTCCTTTTACTCTTCCAGAGGGTATTATGCTAACGGAAGGTACTAAAGTAGACGACTTATTATTACCTATGTATACTTATTTAAATATCGTATATAAAGTATTTATATTTATACTGCTAATAAGTATATATATATATAAGTATTTTATTATTTGATTAATTAATTATTATATATTTTTATATATATTTTACCTTTAAATGGACAAAAAATATTATTTTAGCTTCTATTATGTTTCAAATGGCTTTAAGAGTATTTAAGCTTCGGTATACCAATAACAAGCTTTCGTATATTTAAAATTGGTATTTTTATATTCGACACTTAAATATTTAATATGTTTCCCAAATTCAGCAATTGAAACAGTATTCGCATATGCTTGGAGATATGTGCATATATGCTCATATGTGCCGGGTCCTTGAACCTTTCGGCATTTTTTAGGTCTCCTATTGGGAGTCGGCGAACTTACCGCCAGACACAAGTCAGACTTGTAGAAGGGGTCAACAAAACCGCTGGGTGGACCACCGCAACTAATGTTAAGCAAATGTCTGTGAAAGTTTTGCGAGTGTTTAATTGAAATTTGAAATTGTTTTTGTTATTTTTACTGGAATTGAAATTTAGAACCTACCCTGTGTGCATGGAATAAATGAAAGAAACTGTCAATTAACTTAACGGCTCAACATTTATGGGCCTTCAAGCCAATGTGGCATGAGTCCTCATTGATTGCTCAATTTAAAGCACGTTTACACATTGTTCACAAAATCGATGTCTACCTTAATCTTTGAGCAAGGTAACATGTCAATGAGCTTCGCTTATGATCAATTCAAAAATATTGTAGCATTTTCCCTGTCATTGCTATGGGACTCATGCGGTATAGATCCTAATCTTATCTTAAATTAGTTGCAATTTAAATAATTTTAACAGCCAAAAATACATTTTAATTATTTGGCGTAGACAGTCAGACAAATGGAAAAGACCGACATATTAATTCGACAGCTGATACACTCTGTAAGCGTATATACAAATAAAATGTCCGACGTAGATGCCATAATAAACATTCTAAAATGTTATTATTTGTATATATTTTTCGCAAGAAGAATAATCAAGGCTTCCCTTTCACAACATATTAACATAGATATGCGCTGCGAAATCCAACTCTATGAAATTCCCTTGCTTGAAAAATTCGTTTGAGGAAGTTTGTCTTTTTAACTAAGGAGAAAACTGTCGGATAATAGAGGTTAATCACGGATAACAGCGGTATAAAAAAAAGCCACTCAGCATTCCGGTTGACAGAATTCCGTTTAAGCGAGGTTCAATTGCACAGGTAGTTCGACTATATTCATACATAAGCCGATTTTAAAAGCTTACAACCAAAAGTGGCTCAAGTGCATTCATATGTCTAAGCTCTGGTTAAGTGTAAAAGTGTCTTGGCGAGGCATTTTGTGTTGGTTTTATTGGGAAGGAGCTTAAAACTATAAAAATGGGCAAGGGCTTAGCTGCACATTTATAAAGGTATACAAACACTTCTTACTATCGTCTGCAACAGCAGTAGCAAATGATTTCTGCAGCTCCTTGACACAAATCGACATATTTGCCGAAGTGGCAAAACATATTTGTAGTTTAGCACGTGTACAGGTTAAAGTAAATATGTATGTGAGAGTATGTGACTAGGAGAGAAACTTCACCTGGCTGATGAAGATTTACGGGTTGAAGCTGTTAAGCTGCTGTTCCGCACATGTGCAGCCGCATACAACTGCAACATTGCGAGTATTGGCAAATACGCCGTGAAGTCCCCACCGCACACGCACACATTTATAATAAATATAATTTTACTGCTGGGGCGAATTTCAGTAAGACCTCGTGAGCGAGCACCGCAACCGCGTCAGCGTTCTGCGAATGTAGTGCATGGAGTGCACTAGACTACTTAAAATTATATGTATACACTTCCGAGAATTTGGTACACACACCCAACATAAAGTTTCCATCCTGGCCAAGAGCTCTAGTGAGTGCTCAACACGAGCAAACACTGATGGGTGTACATAAATAAAATGCTTAACATTGCGCAAAGCTTCAAATGAATCCTTCAGCAGAGGTGCAAAAGTATCTTCTGGTACTTCAATTAAAAGCTAACAAACAACCACGAATCCCCCACAAATTAAGGGTCATATTTGCGTTTTTTAAAGTATTTTCGTAAAAAAAAGCGATTTTTCAACAAAATTTATATTCGTTAGAAAAACTGTTCGCCTTTCACAGCATACTATATCTGTATAAATATGCATACATTTATACGCTACTCGTGTTTCGGTTTGCGAAATTTATATAAAATACAACGTGTAATACAAAATAATCACCATAAGCTTTTTTATAAAAAAAACAGAAAAGAAAATGGCAAATGTAAAACTGAAGGTTAGCGCAAGTTGGTGTGCTCCAGTCAAGAGTCCTCGACGAAAAATCGAAAAAATCCAATAAAATATATTTATATATAATATACATATATATATGGGCTATAGTGAGAAACTTCATACACAAATACAGCATTAACGCTATCGCTGGCATTGACTCTGACGCTTACGCTGACTTTGACCATAACGATGCTAATTAACTTTACATTCAGTGTACTCGCGTCATATGCAGATGAATTTGCAACTGCCTCTAAGATGGGCTCAAAAAAGAATTTCAAAGACCGCGACGGGGCTGGGCTCTAGAGACGAACCCGGCCCAATGAGCTAGTCAATGTCCCCGCTAGCCCAATGCGGCATGGCGCCGCGGCGTGTACCCGTCTGACAAAGGCGCCGCAAAGTGGCGCGTGCCTTGTCGCTGCTTGGGTGCTTCCACTACGGCCATGGCTAAGGGTCCTCTGAAGCCCCATAAGCTGATTACAGATTTAATTACATGTGTTCCATTATGCCGCCAGCACCAGACGCGTTCAGTTGGCCACGCGCACGAGCACACACTCACGACTGGGCCTCAGACTCAATCCGCAGTCCATGTCGAATGCAACATAGCTGTTGCATGCGTCAGCCTCTGGTTCGCTCGAGGGGGCTCTTCTGCAACACGATTGCGCATCCGTCTGCGCTGGGCATTAAATGGTTAATGTTCTAGGCAGACAGGCGTTCATACCCAAGCTCCAATCACGGGTACGCATCGACAAGCCGGTAAGTTTTTAAATGCAAAAAAATGCAGCTAAATGGGTTAGCCTATTTCTTGTTTTTATTATGTACTAAAAACAATTGCGAGTTTGTTTTTCAATGGGCAAATGAGAAAACAAACTTACCCAAAACCTGACTTTAAATACTCTTGCAGTGTTATTTTCTAGGGTTAAGATATGCTGGTAGCTTGATTTGAATTCAATTAATTTTATAATAATATTTATATTTATTAGTATAATTTTAAGATTTAAAATATGATATTTCTCACTGATGGCTCCCCTCTTTTTTATTACCTTAAAGGTTTTCCATTTTGTGATCTCTCTGCTGGTACTCAGGCATTGCCGATAGAAAGAGAGAGAGAGAGAGAAAGAGAGAGAGAGAGAGAGAGAGAGAGAGAGAGAGAGAGATAGTGAGAGAGAGAGGCAATAAGCAAGACCTTGCACAATCTGTATGAAGGGGCGTGGGTTAGTTACTTTGTGCATGAGGTCAGTTAATGTTAATGTGATTAGCGTTCAAATTAAAATGCTTTGGTGCTTAGAGAGTGCCATGTGTAAGAATGGGCTTGCCACTAATGCCCCAAAGGGCTGCCAACAACAACAACAACAATATCAATTTAAAGTAATGGTCCTGGTGAAGGTCGACAGAGATAGAAGGAGAAGTGAGTAATGGTCGAAGACGGGGGGTGAGACCGGCTTGGATGGGACCTGGGACCGATTCCAGTTCAGTAATTGAAACGGGCAAACGGAATGTGGCTCAATGGGTGCCTCAGTCTGCGCCGCGCTGGGTCGCAGGGTCAGCGGCTTATTGGTTTACTTCTTGGCGTACAACGTGTCGGTGGGCTGGGCTGTCTGCTGTGAGGGCAGCCAAAGGTGTTGGCCGGTAATTAATTTGCCGGGCAGACCGATGCACAAAAGTCAAATGCCCATTAATTAAAAATGGATTTAGCGTAACCTAAGCTGTCATATCGTACATATACAGTGTTCAATGACCTCCTCTGTGTGTGTGTGTGTGTTATTTTGTGCGACAGCCTTGTTACAATATAATTTACGGAAAATCACAGTATGCACATCTTCATCTATCAGCTGTAGCTGGTCTTGCCATGCAAATGCATTTTCCCATTTTCCATTTCCAGGGCTGACAAGTGATTAAAATTCCAACTTTGCGCCCATTAAAAATAATTTGCATTTTTTCCACTTAATTGAGTCTTGACCGTTGCCAATGAACTGTGAACCGTGATTCTTTTAGATACAATCGGCATACTTCAACTTTTGAAAGAATTAATACCCGAAAAATAAAATAAATTTATGAGTATAACGATAATGTAAATACCATTACGCGTTATATAAAGTTCTTCTATTAATTAAGCACAACTTATATTAAAGCTGTCCGAATGAGCATGGGTATAATATC